AGTATTTGTTTGTCAAGTTCAATTGGCACTATCAGATTCTAATTTTTTTTTTTGTTCTGAAAAGTCATCAGGTCAAAGGTTTGATGGAGTTAGTTAATATAAAAAAAAACTCGAATAATGTACCCTAGGAGTTACTGGAAATGAAGAAGACATTTGTAAATGATTTTGATACTGCAGTAAGAAAGAAATAATTAAATTATCTTTAGAACTTTCCCAGATAACGGGCGACAACTAAAAAACGAGACTGCATTTAAAGACACATATCTCCTTAAAGGAATAAGATTTTAAAAATAGGAAAACTGTTTTAGAAGGCATTTTTATTCTAGTTTTTAAATATTTTATGTGTTTTTATTTTTTTATAGAAAAATAAATAAAAAAACAAATTCAAAACAAGAAGAGATTAGAAAACGTATGTATGAATTTTATTTAAATTACAAAATGATGGTAAAAAGTTCACTTATGACCACTTTAAAGTTGAGAATATACCTAAAAGTACTATCTACAAGATAATTTAACGTGCTGAAAGTGAATCTGGGTACCAAAGAGTTCAAGGAAGTGGAGTAAAAGCTAAAAAAATGACCAGAACAAACATTAAAAGGCTCAAACTCATGTTTGACCATAAAGACAGAGTTTCTCAACAACAGGCAGCTAAAAAGTTCAACTGTACTCAACAACACATTAGTAAAACATTAAAAAAAAGAACAAATATTAAATCAAGAAAAAAAATGACGATTCCAAAAACGCTCTGACCAGCAAAAAGCAGTAGCTAGAACTAAGTGCAGTCAATTGTGTCAGAAATTTAAAAATCGTAAAACAATCATTGACAAAGAGTCTTATTTCACGTTTAATCACTCCACTATCAATGGAAATAATATATTTTATACTAGTGATGTAAAATCTACATCTACAGTTAAATACAAAACAAAACAAAAAATTCAAAAGAAATTATTTCTATGAATTGCTTTTTCTGAAAATGGAATTTCTCAACTTTATTTTGTACTAAGTGGACTGGCTGTGAATCAAAAAATCTATTTAAACAAATGTATTAAGAAGAGACATTCTATTCATCAATAAGTATCATTCAGATGATGCATATGTATTCTGGCCAGATTTAGCATCATCTCACTATGCAAAAACAGTAATTATGTACCTAAACAAGGAAAACGTGCATTATGTTGAGAAAGCGGATAACCCTGCAAACTTGCCAGAATGTCGCCCTATTGAAAATTTTTGGAGTATTTTGAAAGGCCCTGTCTACAAGAATAATTGGCATGCAGAAAATCTTAAAAAATTACGTTCTAGAATCAAGTATTGCCTTAATAAAATTGATATTGAGCTCATACGGAGACTAGCTCAATCTATACCAGGCCTAGTTGATAAAGTCAGAAGAAATGGTTTAATTGAGAACAACTGATTATATATTTAAAAACTAGAAAAAAATACTTTCTATGACATTTTTCCTTTTTGTTTTATCTTACTTCTTTAAAGAGATATGTGTCTTTAAATTCGTTAAAGCAATCTTATGGAGAAGACCAACATGCCAGCCTTTATCAAAACCTTTAAATGTCAAGAGCGATAGCTCTAGCATCATTCCTACTATCTAAAATTTTTGTTTTCCAGCAGGTAGAAAAACAAGATTCAGTCAAACATTTATTAAATAGTTTGGACAGGATTGAGAACTATGAACAACACTTTCCTAAGACTAAGACAAAAAAAAATGCCTGGACCACAAGCAGTAAAACAGCTGAATAGAGAAATAACTTTAGCAGAAAAAGCCAGAATGATTTATGTCTAACAATGGATTAACTTGTTTCTCTGGAATGACAAAAAGAGTGTTAAACTCAAGATTTAAATTAGAGGAAAAGTTTTCTTAGGAGAGGTTAAAAAATTTGTCTTATTCTTAGGAGAGGTTAAAAGATCAGACCCATGTATTAGAGATGGAATTTTAGATTTACCTTTTTTAAAGACACTGTTGAAGATAACAAGATAATGAGATAAAATATGAGATTGTTGAAGATAACAAGATAATAAGATAAAATATGAGATTTACTAAACTGAGAATATTGAAAGCATCCGACACCTTATTAAATTAATTTATTGAAATATTAAAAAGACAATTGTTCTCAAGAAAATTGTTTTTTTAAAAAAGATTTTTAAAAAAAATATTAATGATATTTTTTTAAAAATTTTTCAAAAAAAAAAATAATGATATTGAAATAGAGTTGCACATTATTTTGATTTAGAATAATGAAAAAAACAACAAAAAATAATAAATACTTTTATTGTGCTCACAAGTATGCAAAAAACCCCAAATCCTAATCCTAAATCTAATCCTAATTTTATCCTATTTTTTTATTTTCAAGTATCCTAAATATCTATTTTTATTTTTTCATAAAACTTGTAAACCTCAATGCACCTCAATGTACATCAGCATAATATTGCAATGATGTAATGTTGCAATTGATGAACCTTATGGGAAAGTTGATTGAGTCGCAAGCAATATATCCCAAATGAATGAGCAAGGTTTTTTATTTTAGCAGAATCTAATACAGGATGTATTTGGAATGGTTTTCTGTACACAGGAAAGATGGATAAAATAAACATTGATAATTATACAACCACGCATATTGCCATGAAAATTATGAATAATCCTTTATACAAAATTTATTGATTGGTCATCTTTTGAACTTTATAATAAACTTTCTATTGGATTTTGATTGGTCATCTTTTGAACTTTATAATAAACTTTTTAGTGAATAAAACTGATTGTGTTGGTACAGTAAGAAAAGATTGGAAAGGTATGCTAATTGGATTAATTTCCTAGAAGTTACCAACAGATGAGATGTTTGTTTAACTATAAGAAAATATAGATATACTAAATGGAGAAATAAAAAAAAGGCATTTATTTATTGAGCGTATGCATTAAAAATAGTATAATATCACAGAAGTATCTGGTAAAGCAAAGATTATATCTGCTGTTGTTGATTTATATAACAAAAACAAAAAATGAAAAAATTGTTTTCCATTAGGAAAAAGCTACTTCAAAAAAAAGTGTTAACAAGCTAATAACAAGGTATTACTACAAAATTCTTTGCAAACATTGACAGAAATGAGATATTGCAATTAATAGTAAAATACATTAAAAAATTAGGTGAATGATTGTTTTATTAATCACATGTTTATTAAATTTAATATTTTTATTTTATTTAAATTGATTAAGAGTTTGTCTAACTTTGTAATGAGTTTTAATGAATTTCTAGAAATAAATGACACTTAGTGCATTAAGTGTCATCAATGAAACCTTAAATTTAGAAAATTTTTACAAAACAAGCATAAATAAATTTTGTCAAGAATTGTCCAATCATCAGCAGCTCAATAACTATAAACTTTCTTATAAGAAAAACTTTTCTTTAAAATCCACCTTACACCATTGGAAATACCATGCTCAACCTGTTTCACTGCACAGTGGCCATATTTAAAAAGGTTAGTGTTTCAAAGTTTTAGGTTGAAAATTTCTCAACCCAAGAAAAAGTTTTTTAAAAATTTCTCTTGGGTTGAGAAATTTAAAAAAAACTTAATAAAATGAGCAACCTCTTTAACTGTAATGGTTTCGGAACCTGGAGAGGAGGTGAATCTCCTGAGCCTGGAGAGCAGATAAGTTTTATTTAAAAAAATTTAACCATAAGAACCAACATTTTTGTGTTTTTTTTTCTAACAATTTCAAATTATTGTACATGTAAACATTTTTATTTAGAAATTTTTTTTTTTTTTAAATCTCAATAAATTAGTGATTATACAGTATGTGTGTGTGTGTGTGTGTATATATATATATATATATATATATATATATATACATATATATATATATATATATACATATATATATATATATATATATATATATATATATATATATATATATATATATATATATATATATATATATATATATATATATATATATATATATATATATATATATATATATATATATATATATACACTAATTTAATTTAAAATATTTTTCTAGATCCAGCTTGCAGTTTGACTGATCATTTGTTTATACACCTCAAAATGTATAGCTGTATGGCTGTGTCTATAAAACCCAAAAACACAATTTTTGGGATTTTCTAGACCATGGTAAATCCTTAAAAATTATAGGATTCTAAAATTGTGAAACACAATTTCTGCATCTTTGATTTGTAATCAAAAGATTACAAAAATTACAGAAATTGCACTTGTAACAAATGTATACAAGTACTCCTTATAAAAAATTGGGTAATTGAAGTAAGAATATAGAGTTTTGAAATTTAAATAAAAATAGAGTTAAAAAGTGAAACTCAAAAGATAAACTCCACAACCACTTTTGAAATATCGTAATTGTAAAAAAAAATGTCAATATGAGAAAATCTTGGTAAGCTTCCCCGCTTTAAAAATACAATGCAGAGAAGGTTTAACTGTTATATAGGGAATATAGCATAAAGTTATAATAATGATTTAACCACAAAAAAAATGATTATAATTATAAAATAATTCTTTAATAAAATTGAATTTTTAGGCATGAAGATGCAAACACATTGTTAACACCACAAAGTTATCAATACATTTATGACATGTAAGATTTTAAATCTCAAACTCCTAAATTTACTTTAAAAACTAATTTCAAAAAATGTTAAAATTTGCTATAAAGCCTTATACTTAATATAGCTAATCTTTTAAAATATAAATTTTTGCACAACAAACATCTAAACTTCTTTATTATCAAAATGTTTATTACTCTATAACTTTTCCATAATTTCATCTAAAAGAAAAATTCAAATACTTGATAAATATATTTTGTTAATAAGTTTTTTATTTTTTGACATCTGACAAATTTTATATTTTAAAAATTTTCACAAAATAATATTTATTTAATTATATTTATTTAATTACCCTAAAATTTGCAAATATATAAGCAGTATAATAAAAATAACAAATATAAATTGTTAATAACAACTCACTAATTGAACATTAATACTTGATAATTTGTCTGTAGAATTTTGCCTCAGTGAATCAATTCCATCAAGAAATGCTGACAATAGCATTTTATTTTTCAAAAAAGAAAACTCTAAAAAAAAGTTTTGAAAAAAATATTATGCAAAGTCAATTAAAAATTTATATTTTATAAAACATCAAGAAGAAACTTCATAAGATGAAAAAAAGCTTGTTGTGATTCTTGATAAAAACCACTCTTGTCAGTACTAGATTGACAAGACATGTTGTCCTGTAAATATTTTGTTGACACTTTTGTTGTGATTTATTTGTTAATTGTATCTTTATTATGCCTTAAATTTTCTGTTTTTTAAAAGTATTACTTATTTCTTTAAAGAAATTGAGTTTATTTTCATCTAAAAGTTGTAGTTAACAAACCATTACAATATTTTATTTGGTACTATTTTAACCTGTTATTTGTAAAAACTAGAGGTGCACGGATGCATCAGCCTCAGCATCAGTCTTGGTAACCATAGGCAGGTGCCAATAGTTTAAAAAAAATCAGTTTTTTTAATTTTAAGGTTTTTTTTCTAAATTTTGACATGCAAAATTTGGAAAAAAATATGGGGGCTGATATTAGAAAATCAATATGATATAATTCATTTTGAAAAACATCTTGCTTTATTTATTGTTTATAAAGTACAATAGACATTAAAATTTATAAAAACAACTTATAAATCTTTTCAGAATTTTATAATAAACTTGATTTTATTATTTTGAAAAAATTCCCAAATAAAGAAAGTAAAGTGGTTTTTATTAAGGGTGCACAGATGCATCGGCCATGGTTACCATCGGTCAATGCCACTACAAGTTACAATCCAGTTTGTTGTTACTTACTTTTATTTAAATATTCTTACCTTTATATAAATTTAACAAATCTTTATTAGAATCATCAAAAATTCTTTTTATGTGATCATACAAACTGTGATCTAATAAATGAGCTTCAATCCAAAAGTTTAACCTTTGCGTACTATCACAAGAATCCATATTTTCTTTAGTAAAGTCAATCAATAATTGATCATTCAGCATCTAAAAGCAAATACAAAAAAACAAGTATTAAAAAAGTAAATACAAAGTAACAAGTATTAAAAAAGCAAATACAAAGTAACAAATATTAAAAAGCAAATGCTAAGTAACAAATATTAAAAAGCAAATACAAAGTAACAAATATTAAAAAGCTAATACAAAGTAACAAATATTAAAAAGCAAATACAAAGTAACAAATATTAAAAAGCAAATACAAAGTAACAAGTATTAAAATCTGCTTCATGTCCTGCTGCCTTGTAGGATATGCCTTTTTAGGCAAAGGCTAGGAGACGCAAACTCACACATAAAATACCCCCTGCCTTGGGGCTCTTGGTTGAGTAAAGGCTAGAGATGGTGTCTCGATAAAAATACTCATCTTGGGCAGATGTTAAATGCATCCAGCTGCTGTCTTGTAGAAGGCCTCCTAGGCAAAGACTTAAGGGGTAAAAAGATTCTATCTGTTGACCAGCCTTGCACCTCTTCTTCATCTATTAGGCTGGCGCAGATCTATTTTTAATACATTGTTTCCAGTTTAGGATGTTGAACGCTGGATCTTCTTGACTCAATGCATGGGTTTTGCTTGTGTCTCTATTTTTATGACTAGGCAACTCATTCTATTATCTCCAAATGAGGGTACAGCTTTAAAACTCAGTTTTATGGTTCTGAGACCGGCTGGTAGTCAGGTTTCCCGAACTCTGTGGTAGCTCACAGAGAGGCTGATTCCATCAACAGCTGAAAAATATCAGAGTACTAATAGTGCCATGTTGCGCATGGATGGTGTCCCTGTTTGTACTTTTGGTGTGCATTGCCAAAGCCACAAATTTAAAAATGAATAAAGTAGCAAAAACTATAAAACACAAAAAACCACAGTCATCACCAAGTTCACTAAACCTATCATTCACCAATATTCGTGGTCTTCGAAGTAACTTTTCTTCTGTTGAGTCTTATCTCTTGCAAAGTTCACCACACCAACTTGCTCTTTGTGAGACTAATTTGAGTTCAGCTGTCCCATCTTGTGATCTTAGTGTTGATGGTTATCTTCCTTTAATTCGTAAAGACTCCAATAGTCACATGCTTGGCCTGGGCATTTACATTCGTAAGAATTCACCCATTTGTCGGGAAACTAGGTTTAAATCAACAGACTACTCTTTTATGTGCTTTTGTTTAGCACCACTTCACTCTATCACCTTTCTCTTTGTTCTATATCGCTCTCCTTCATCTTAAGACTGCACTCTTCTTGATGTCATTTCTGATTATATTGACTAAGCCCTCATTCTTTATCCATCAGCCAATATTGTTGCTGTTGGTGACTTTAATGTTCATCACACTGAATGGCTTGGCTCTAGTGTCAGTGACTCTGCAGGCATTAAGGCCCACAACTTTTGCCTTTCTCAATCCCTAACTTCAACTCGCTTTCCAGACAACCCAAATCATTTACCTTCCTACTCGACTTATGTCTCGTTTCTGATCCTAGTCAGTGCTCAGTTTCTCCACACTCACCCTGAGGTGCTTCTGATCATGGTTTGGTCTCTCTAAAACTATTATCTCATTCTTCTTTACCATCAGAATCCCCCTATCATCGTACATCTTACAACTACCTTAAAGCTGACTGAGACTTTTTCTGTGATTTTCTTTGTGATGGCCCCTGGGTAGAAATCTTTCATATTCCTGTTGACAAATGTGCTTCTTACATAACTTCGTGGATTCAGGCTGGCATGGAATCCTGTATTCCCTCTCAACGATTCCAGGTCAAGCCTCACTCTTCTCCATGGTTTTCCTCATATTGTGCTGCTGCAATTACCAATCGAAACCATTACTTCCATATCTATCAGCAAAACAATTTTCCAGAAAACAGACATCTGTTTATTACTGCTAGGAACCATTGTAAAAAGGTTTTGTCTAACGCCAAAGCCCGCTATTCTCAGACCATGAAATCTCGTATTTCATCACAAAAATTAGGCTCTCATGACTTCCGGAGAATCTTTAATAGTATCAATAATAAAGGCAAGTCTGTCATTCCACCTCTTTTACTAATTAAAAGAGGTGGAATTACAGACTTGCCCTTCCAAAGAACTGATATTTGAGGAAAAAAACTTTATGAATAAAAGTTTTTGGAATATTTAGGAGCAGTCACAGTAAAAAGATGAGACTTAATTGAATGATGAGTACCACAAGAATGAATTTTAGCAGATGGTACAAGAGATGCTAGCTCTTTAGAACAGTGTCCATTTTAGCATTTGTAAAAAAGAGAAAGAGAAGCAACATTACAATGATGTGATAATGGTTATTGGTTGGCTGCAAGAGCAGGTCCAACTATAATTACAATGCATTTTTGCACCTTTTCTAAAAGAGAAAGAGCATTATTGAAGATCTGCCCCAGATAAGGCAACAGTTTTCCATACAACGACAGATTTGAGATTCAAAGATGTAAAGAATAGAATCCGGAGTAAGAAAGTGTTGGACATGATAAAGAGATACAACCTTAGTAAATGCTAATTTTGCAATGGTTTTGATATATGGTTTCCAAGAGAGATCTGAAGTAAGAATTAATTCTAGAAGATGAAAGGTAGATGACTCGAGTACATTACCATTCATAAATAAAGGAAGATCTAGACTATTGCAATAACGATTGGCTGAAAAAAATTGGGTTTTATCTGAATTAAAGTTCATCAGCCACTGTGAGCTCCATGCTGTAGCAGAAGTGAGATTCTTTTCCAATATATTGTATATATATATAATTTATCTAGGGAGCCATTTTTCTCTAGAAAAATGTTTATTTAGTATCTGTTGAACTTGCAGATAATTGATGTTTACTATCTTTATGATATACATGTTATGTAAAATATGTTTACAAAATATATGTATACATGATATATGTATATATAAAAACTGAAAATGTTGTTGAAACAAAGGGTGAAAATAACTACCAAGCTGCAAAAGCAACTCTATGCAAAGAAAAAAACAGAGATGTGGATTTTTCAAAGGTGCAGTTGCAGCTTCATCATATACCAGATGTATCTGCCATATATAAACCTTATAGTTATAAAATATTCTTATAGTTATAAAATATTAAAATATATTATGCTTGCATGTTTGAAATCTATGCTAATAAATAGCTGTTTTAAAACATATTGAAGAAAATACTAATCAGATACAAAGTTGATACCAATAAAGAAAATATTAATTAGATACCAAGTTAATAATTTTAAATCATTTTATCTATCTATCTATCTATTTATATATATATATATATATATATATATATATATATATATATATATATATATATATATATATATATATATATATATATATATATATATATATATATATATATATATATATATATATATATATATATATTTAAATTTGAAATCAAAATCCTGAACATAAAATGGCTTGAAATCAAAATCAAAACTTTTTTGTATGTATGTATGTATGTATGTATGTATGTATGTATGTATGTATGTATGTATGTATGTATGTATGTATGTATGTATGTATGTATGTATGTATGTATGTATGTATGTATGTATGTATGTATGTATGTATGTATGTATGTATGTATGTATGTATGTATGTATGTATGTATGTATGTATGTATGTATGTATGTATGTATGTATGTATGTATGTATGTATGTATGTATGTATGTATGTATGTATGTATGTATGTATGTATGTATGTATGTATGTATGTATGTATGTATGTATGTATGTATGTATGTATGTATGTATGTATGTATGTATGTATGTATGTATGTATGTATGTATGTATGTATGTATGTATGTATGTATGTATGTATGTATGTATGTATGTATGTATGTATGTATGTATGTATGTATGTATGTATGTATGTATGTATGTATGTATGTATGTATGTATGTATGTATGTATGTATGTATGTATGTATGTATGTATGTATGTATGTATGTATGTATGTATGTATGTATGTATGTATGTATGTATGTATGTATGTATGTATGTATGTATGTATGTATGTATGTATGTATGTATGTATGTATGTATGTATGTATGTATGTATGTATGTATGTATGTATGTATGTATGTATGTATGTATGTATATATTTTCAAAATCATTTACTTGTATTTCATTTTCATTTTCTCGTTCACACCTATCTTTGTTATCTGACGATCTGAGGCCATTAACTAAAATATTAAACACTGTTTTTTTTGTTCTACTCAGTCCACCAAATACATTCCAAACATTTTGATTATTACAGGCAAGAACTCCTTCTACGGTGTTTATAAACGAACTCAAAAGTTCAAAGAGTTCATAGGAAATATTTTCAGGAGTTTTAGCATCCATACTTTAAACAACATGTCTAATTTTTTCAATGTGGTTGCGCAAGTTGATATGCATTTACGGAAGCCATATTTATTCTTTATATAAAACCATTAAAATTTATTTATTTGATTTAAAATTTGGTTTATAATAATTTAAATATTAGGTATTAGCGTGGGGAACTAGCTCAGATGGTAGAGCGCTCGCTTAGCATGCGAGAGGTACGGGGATCGATGCCCCGGTTCTCCATAGTGATTATATATTTTAAAATTTCTAACAAACTTTAATTATTTATTGGTTCTTTTTATTATACGTAATAATTTTACGTTTTTAAAAGCAAAACGGTTTTTATCTACTGTAATGAAGTATATTTTAACTTTGTATATTTTACATTAATCAATCAAATCAAAATGCTCACATAAGAGGAGCCCATTAGCAAAACGCTCTAAGTCCAAGGTAAATGATTTCAAGAAAACAACAAAAAACTAAACCACTTTTAGTGATATTTTTTTCGACCAATTTTAGAACCAAAAATTTTTTAATTGGTCTAATATTTAAATACATGATAGATTTAAGTATATAGAATGTTGAAATAGAATTAACACAAAATTTTTATTTTTGTGACGTGTTTTGCAGATGGGTTCCTCATATATAAATCACTCGCGCAGCTTTTTTGTAAAAACATTATTTCAGATCTCCATTGATTAAATGTAACCACATTACACTAAATATCAATAAAACTGAATTTATTTTTTTTCACCCTCAAAAAAAAAAGATTTAAGATGTTAATGTAAAAATTAACCGTAAAAGACTTTTCCCATCTAAATACACCTCGGGGTATTTCTTGACAAAAGCCTATCATGGTACCATCAATTAATTAAATTAAATAAAAAAACTCTCACGTGCTAATAGTATATTGCCGTTAATACGACACTATGTTCCCCAACATATTCTAGTATCAATTTAATATTCCTTTTTCTCCTCCCATTTATGTTAATGTTGCACTGCTTAGGTTCAAAAAACTAGTTTTCTATAACGCACTTCCATAAGAATCAACACATTTACGATCTAATATCCAAATTAAGTTTTCTGCATTAAAATTCTAAAATTTCAAGATCTTGTAAAGCTTTATAACTGTCTCTTTGGGTTTGATTTTCCCAAAAACAATCTATTAAACTCGTTTGATAACTATTTTATTAAAACAAGTGATACACATTAACATTACACTAAAAATACAAGTGACACACATTAATATTACACCGAAATACTGAAAATTTTAACTTGTACACTTCCTTTTTCAATATAATACTATCAAATATGACAAGCTCTTTTTAAAGCATCAATTGAACCAAATAATACCATTTATAAAAAAAAGATTTTAACTAAATACCATTATATTATCAACATTCTTCTTCTCAATCGAGACCAAATTAAGAAATTTCCAATTTAGTATATATCTAGATATATACTATACTATATATCTAGATATATACCGGCACTGACAATAGTACTAAAGTTAAAAAAAGTATAAACTAAAGTCAACTATAGTTTTATAAATAATTCATTAGATATATAATGAATTATAATTCATTAGATATCTAATGAATATTAATTTTATCTATTATCATTACTGCTTTTTTTATATTACTGTATTTATAAAACTATAGTTGATTTTAATTTATACTTTTTTTAACTTTAGTACTATTGTCAGTGCCGGATCAAGGGGGGGGGGGGCTATAGCCCCGGGCCCCACAAATTTAGGGGCTCCTAAAAATTTTAAAGGCCTTTTTTTTTTTTAGTCATTTTTAGACTCAGGCCCATAAAACGGCTTCAAAAACAAAAATAGCCCCGGGCCCAAAAAGTCCTAATCCGCCGCTGACTATTATTACTATTATCATTTGTTTATTTTTGTTTTAGAAGTCTTATAAATATTATTTTTAATGATGTGATAATAATTCCATTGTAGTAATAGTTTTATGGTTTTTGCTATAATTTTTGCAAATGTTATGTTTATTTTTATAATTTCTGTCATAGTTTACTAAACTTTACTATAATTATTTTTACCATAGTTTTTATCATTAGTTATAATTTTTATTAAAGTCATCATATTATAATTATTATTTGTAATGTTTTTTTTTTCATATTCATATTATTATTATTACTATTATTTAAATAGTAAAACATAACTATTATTGCTGTTATTGTTATTATTGTTGTTATTATTATTATTATCATTATTTATTAGTGCTTCTTTTTTTTAACATTTTTTTCTCTTTGATATTTTCGTGTTAGTTATCTTTGTTTTATCTATTATTATTATTATTCTTTTATTGCCCTTTTAAATAAGATTTTTTTTTTTTTTTTTTGATGTCACTCCATTGACTAGTTTTTAACTATAGGAGTGGCACCTAACTTTATTTATCTAGATAAATAAAGTTAGGTGCCACTCCTATAGTTAAAAACTAGTCAATGGAGTGAATGAATGTTAACAATGAATGTTAACATACTACTAAAAATAAACAAAAAAAAAAAAAAAAAAAAAACATGTTTTTTTTTTTTGTATTTTAAAGTATTTTTGCCCCCTTCTAATTTTTTTTTTTAAATTTCCAATTTAGTTTACAAAGGTTATTCCTTTTGAAAAACAAGACTTTTCAATCCTGACCTAATAAGTTATAAATATAGATATCTATATTTATAACTTATTAGGCCAGGATTGAAAAGTCTTGTTTTTCAAAAGGAATAACCTTTGTAAACTAAATTGGAAATTTAAAAAAAAAATTAGAAGGGGGCAAAAATACTTTAAAATACAAAAAAAAAAAACATGTTTTTTTTTTTTTTTTTTTTTTTTTGTTTCTTTTTAGTAGTATTTTAACATACTACCTATAAATATCTATTTAATTTTGAAAAAAGATATTGTACAATGTCTTTTTCATATTTTAATTTTTTTTTAATTTCCAATTTTTTTAATATTTCCAATTCTCCTAACGTTAGGAAAATTCTAAATTTTTAATTATAGGCATTTATAACTTGTGTCACGAAAGAAACGATAGGTTCCTTCCGTGACTCAAGTTTCAATTGCTATAACAAAAAATCCAAGTTATACAATTTTACTTTCAACTGATCATCCAACATCTATAGTCTCATCTATTTTTGAAAATATAAAAATATAAATTACTATGTACTATGTACCAGTTTAAAAAACAACGAATTAATATTGTTATACAAAAAAATATAAATCCTTATATGTGTAATCAGTGGTTTTAACCTTTTTATTTATTTATATATCTTTGGTGTACGGACCCATAAAATACGGATCTTCACTAAACCGACCAGTTCTATACTTATTCCTTACTTACTTCAATATTTTTTAGTAAAATAATTTATTCTTAAAAATTACTTTAAGAGCAAAAATATTAACATGCGCACTTTTTCCGCATACGTAGAGCTTATAAGAAATTTTTAAAATGGTTTGTTTTACACTTGACTGCCAAGAATTCCGTGTCAATCGCGCTCGAAAGGGCATAACTGCTACTAACAGCACTATTAAGTTCGGCAATAATATATAAGATTATAACATTAATTTGGTAATAAATTAGGATTTAAGCTCATAAAAATTATGTCTTCTACCATAAAATCGTTATTTCACCCTCCAAAAGTAGTAAGATAATTATGGTATATTGTGGGCGTGGTTAGAAATTTGCGCCTAAGTTTGTTTAACTTAAAATTTTGGAAACGCAATTAAAAATTGCACGATGAATAAATTTAAAGCGTCAACGTAATATAATATGGTGTTCCTGACTTGATTAAAGCAAAATTAAATGTTACGTAACTATTCATTATTACAATATTTAAAAGTAATATACTTTTTATATGCAACAATATTGCTTCTAATATTCTCTTTTAATCACTGTTTCCTAAACAAATTAATGAATCAAAAAATTTTTTTGTTGAAGTGTTTGACACTTTTATGCTAGATGAAATTAAAAGTTTGAAATTAAAAAAAAAAAAAAAATGATAATTAAAAGTAAATTTCATTTATAAATTCAAAATTATTTTAAATCAAAATGTTTAAACTTTTTATAGTTTTAACATTACATTTGTTTGGAAAACTAGAAGCGGGTACGTTTGATTTTTTTTTATACATTTTTATTTTTACTGTTGATCTTAAACTTTTTTTACTGTTACCTTAAACTTTTTTTTAATCTTATAAAGAGCATTCTCATTCTCTTTTTGAAAAAGTTTTAGTTTTAGAATCCTTTTAGGTTTGTTTGAAAGTTATTTTAACATTATTCCATACACAGAATAGTTAAAAACATGCCTGTATATTCTTTGTGGTTAAGGGTTTTTTTTTGTCTAAAGTAATTTATACCTCCACTTATCATATTATATATCATACTATAGTAATTTACACCTCAATATTACAATAAAATGTTTATTTTCCCTATTCATTATAAATATCAAATCTTTTTTATATTCTAAATATTAAAAATTTTTAAAAATTTGAGTTAAAGGCACATACAGGGGCGGTTGTTCTCACTCGCTAAGAATGAGGGAGGGGAGGGGGATGGCGCTTATTAAAAAAGGGATAAAATTTTATCCCTTTTTTCAAATTTTTTAATTATTTGTTTATTTCACATTATGATAAAGCATTTTATTATAATAGTGATACGCAATACGCTGATATAATGTATTGTAGTATATATGTTTTTCTCCATTTATAATGTATTTTATTGGGCTGAACTGGCAAATTCTTCATATGGCAAATACTTCATAGGCAAATAACAATTATACTTTTACTAGTATAAAGTTATGTACTGCATAGATTTGTAACTGTTACGCAGTTATTTATTGCTACGCTACTGCGTAGGTTTATAATTAAGTAATGAAAGCGTTACAATTATTTAAATCAACTTTTTAATATAATTTTAAAAGAACTCATTTTAGAAATAAAGTTTTATGTAATTATTATTCAGTATTATATAATCTTTTTAACGGTGCATTTTTTAAAAATCAAACTGTGTACCCATATTATGCCCAAATATGGACATTTCCGTGATGGGAAATGAATTGCTTTTTTTTTGGGTCACTCTAGAAATATTTCTAAATAACTGTTCTAAAGAGCTTTATTGTATATTTTTATGGATTTAAATGTTATTTTACCCTATTCGACTGTACTAGTTTGTAAAAAAATAAAATTATAAACGCAAGTATAAAACGTTAAAAATACAGACTATTAGGTTGAAACGAATATTGCCTATAATCGGTTAAAATTTAATTTAAATCAAATTGGTTGAAAATAAAAATCTATAACATCTGTCAAAAAAGTTTGGTCAAAAATGAAAACATAAATCGGTCAAAAGCAAAAAATGCTACAATTGGTTGAAAAGGATATAGGCCTCAGTAGTACATCTGAAAATTAGTTCCACTTTTTAGTTTTTTTTTTTTTTTTTTTTTTTTTTTGTAGAACAACTTGGTAGGTCGAGATTTTTGTAGGTCTAACCATCTGTCACGTTTATTTCGTTAAAAAAAAACGTGTGACGAACAAAAATAATTATAAAACTATTATTATTTGCAATTGCGATATAGTTTTTAATCTTTACACACTAAAAAATTATGCTGTTATATTTAACAAAAATATAACAGCATTGGGATACGATATAACAGCATAAATGGTGTTATTTTGTGTAATTATGGTGTTATTATGCTGTTATTTTTTAAAAAAATGCTGTTATATTTATTTAAATAACAGCAAAAATAACAGCAAAATGCTGTTATTTAAATTTAAATAACAGCAAAATGCTGTTATATCGTTATCCAATGGCGTTATATTCGAAAACCAAGCTAACAGCATAATATGCTGTTATATATATATATATATATATATATATATATATATATATATATATATATATATATATACATTTTTTTTTTTTTTACATGTTTTGCTTCTATTCATGTAAAACCTAAATCATTTATACACTACATTATATAATTAATACCAATTATCTGATGTATTTAACAATCTTTCAATGCTATTATTACTAGTAAGGCATAAAATACATACTATAAAATGTTTTTACTATATACAATGACGAAATAAATTCATTTCAACATAATTGTAAATAAAACACCATAAACCATTTCAATGATCTACTAATAAATCTGGTAATTTATGTAACTACTTAAACCAAGGGTTAATTTTTATATTTTTAAATATGTCAAAAGATACATTTTCAAAACTTTACAAAATCAGTTTATTATTTTTATTATTTCAAAGAAATAATAAAAATAATAAACTAAGTTAATAATAAATTAAGTTGTTACTTTAAAAAAAAAAAAAAAATTTTTTAAAGTAACAACTTAAACATATAATTATAAGTAACAACAATAAGTATACTTATTGTTGTTATAACAACAAATTAAAAATATAAAAAAAAAAATTTATAAAATAAAAAAGTTAATAACTAGTAATGGCATTCAAAAAATCAAGTTAACTGTTTAATATAAGAGAAAGTCTTCTTTGATTTTTTTTCAAAGCTTTCATTTAGCAACATCTCCTGGAAAAGGTCCATCAGTTGTGAAAAAGAAGATGGATACGATAGATCTAACAAATAGTAAATGCTAACAATAACGCATAAAACCTCTTTAATTGTCCGTAAATCTGTGCTAATCATTTCACATCCTGATCTACTGCGAACGCCATATTGTGTTGAGTTGAAAAGAACTAATGGACCGTACTTTTCAGGTATCTTCAACTCATCGACCAGATCGTCAGACTTAAAGAAATCAAATTTTAACTATAAAAATTATAAAAGTATTTATCCTGATTTTATACTGAAATGTACATCATCAATAAATATTAGTAATAAACAAATAAATTCTAGATTAGCTAGATATATAAATGCAAAAAAAAGTAGATATTTTTATAACTTCATTATATGAAATCATTAAAAAGAATTGAATAAAACCATAAAATATTTCATTTTACTTCAGATTTCTTAAACAACAAATCCTTTGCTTTTTTGGAACCTAATTTACATTGTAAAACAAGCAAACTTTCAAGATGATTAGAAGATCCTGCAAAAGCTTTAGCAATAAAAAATGAACATGATTCTTCTATAAAACTATAGTGTGGGTAAAGGAGTTTAAACTCAGCAATTATTAAAAAGGGAGCCATTGACAATCGAATCAGGAGTTTTTCATATATTTTTTCTATTCAAAATCGCAAGAACATTGATAGATGGTTTTGATTTTAGTAGTTCATTCTATAAAATATAAAAATTTAAATACTGTAAATTCTAAAACAAACAATGGTCCACATAATCCCTTGGCCAACTAAAAATTATTTATTATAAAATTGTATAAAATAACATGCTATGGTTTATGCTATGGTGCTAAGGTTTGTATAACACACTTTATAAAGTTTCTTTATATATTATACATTAAACAACTTTATTTGTAATGTATTTTTGATTGTAAAAAAAACAATTAGTAAAAAAAAAGTGTATAATAATTAGTAAAATATTTCAAGTAGTAAGTGACCAGGCCCCTGCTAAAAATAGAGCTTTTTACAAACCCTGCCTCAACTAAACAAAAAAAATTTGCAGGGGTTACTAGCCATTACCAGCCACTGAGAGTCCGTACGCTGTATTAGAGGAGAGATCTTTTTCAAGCTCAAATGTCCTCTCCAAGCTCCTCCTCTCGTCCTTCTTCCCTGAAGTCTTTTGGAGCTCAACATAAATTTTACCTAAAAATAATATACTTATAAGATTTATCAATATAAATGCAGCCCTGGCTATGTTTTATCAAACCTGGCCCCAGTCAAATATCAACCCCAATCACTTACTAATTTAAAATATTGCTAATCATATTGCTGTCCAAATTAAGTTAATAAATAAACTAAAAATATAACCTCAACTTCAAGAAGAAGCTGCTCTTCTGAAAGCACTGGTTCAGCTTTAGATATTGAATCCATAATATATGGAGACTTTTTAGGTTTTGAAACCTGTTGAAATTGCCTAATTGCTGTTCCATTTGAAGTACGATGACTTTTAGTCCAACGTTGTTGCCTAATTATGTTTGAAACCTGTCTTAGGAGTGAATCCTAGAAGAATTTTTTTTTCAAAACTATGGAATAGGTATTTATGTACTCTTACGGGTATAAAAACAAATACCTATTCAATACAACCACAACAAAACATGCATGTATTATAAAACATATTAAAAAAAGTATTGTAAGGTCATGAAAAATTTAATTAATTTTTAAAACAATACTTACCCAGTGTTCCAAGCAGTTGGGAAAATTAAAAAGAAGCGTTGACTTAAGTTTAGAAAAAAACTCTCTCCGAACCCATGGGTCATTGTCGGAAGGAAGAACAACTTGGTAATACTGAAGAATACTATTTTTCAGCTTCTTTTTCGATACATCATTTGTCAAGAAATTGTTTAAAAATTTTAAAGAAGATGTACTCAAAAAAATCCTCAGGCGAGTAACTTCATCTGAATCAAAAGGAATTGTGGAAATCTGAAAAAAATATTAACACAGTAAAATGTCTGACATAATAATTGTTATAGCAAAATGTGTGATAACTAGCTGAATCCCAGTGGGCAATTGTTCAAATGGTTTTTAAAATTAAAACTTTAAGGTGTTTCATGTTGGCATATTTAAAACCAGGCCTTATTACAAGCAATAAATAACAAGACATGTTTATAATTAGGTGTAGAAAAGTTTTCTATGCATCAAGTTAGCTTTAGCGCATAAAAAACATACTAGTCCTATGAATGTCCTTGTTGTCGTACAAAATTTTTAATCAAATGATCCAAGTTTTACATTGTCTTATGTATGAAAGAATTATGTTAGAAAATGTTCATTTCATTTTAAAAACATTATTAGTGATTTATTATTGCAAAATGTATTTATTGCGTTGTGTCCAGTGTCGCCAAGAGGGGGGGGACAAAGGGTCAGTTTGTTCCGAGCAGCAGATGTTCTAGGGGCGCAAAAAATATAAGGGACCTAAAAAAAAAGAGTCTTTCATTGATAGCATGAAGAGACAGAAATATGGGGTGTTATTCAGGAATTTTGTCCCGAGCGGCGCCAAGGCTCTCGACAGCTCTGGTTGTGTCATCTCAAAGACAAGACAAAATTTGCCAAAATTTATAAAGATAGTCAAAAAATAAGCAAGAGTAAAATATATCTATTTAAATCTGAATTTCCTTTGAACATTTATTTGAAGAATGTTTTCATATTTTTAAACGTGTTTCTGCTGTAAAATCTAAAAAATTATTCTACAAAAATTAACAAATTAATATGTCCATTAAAAGGTAAACTCATATGCCTATATCAAAAAAATTTAAATTTGGCACTGCTAAAGGAAAAATATTGATTCTGCCATTTACAGAACTTGAAGAATTATTATATTGGATGACGCACCAAGGAAATATTAAAGTATCTGGATAAATGACAACTTGTTCAGAAGATTCACAACATATCAAGTATGATGAGTGGGCTTGTACTATAAGTTTAGAGCATTTAAAAGCACGCTTATCATTTTCTGATGATATGGAAAGGATTTTGTAAAATATCAACTTTCCTGCTTGTAAGCATGAAGTAATATCACCAATCTTGTAAATTATGCCATTTACTTTAACAGAAATAATAGATCCTTTTTTAAACTTCAACTCGTCCACTTGTCCATATACATTACCGTGTCTTTTCCCTGCTGCATTAAAAAAATTGCTTGCGGTATTAATGATCATTGTTTTACATGGTGAATAGGGAATGTTCTTGAAATTGAAGTGACGAAAATTCTTTACAACCTGATATTTTCTTTCATAAGCCATACACATATGTTCACATAGAGGCCCAAACTGTTCAGCTTGAGCAGGGTAGTGGATAAGAAAATGTAACTTTGGGATGAATTTATCAGGATACAAATACAAAAATAAGCGATGATGATCTTGAAAGCTTTTAAATCCGATAAAAAAAGAGGAGTAACAACAGGAGATAAACACAGTTGAAGCACCTGAATAAGTTTTGACAAACAAATAAAATAGACATCGGTTTGATCCATGTGCTCTAAGATAAAAAATGATATAATACGAGAAAGTGTCAAAATTTGACCACTGCCAAAACTACCACAAATCTGCATTGAGGTATGGATCATATTAGGCTTTTCAATACCATTAGCATAGCTAAATCCTTGCAGCCAATCGTTTATTTCTTTTAAAGTAAAAAAATTGTTCTGAATGGCATACAACAAAAATAACTCAAACTGAAGCGGAATGAGACCTTCCAACAAATCATGCAAAGGATCAAATAAAAGCTGTTTTGTCACATCAAATCCCGGAATGTTTGACAGTATACTTTTTGAAACAATGCCATAGTATTTAGACCATTTTGATTTATCAGCTTTGCTTAAACCAGAGTTTAGCTCAGTCAAACGTATCATATGTTCAGCGTTACGAATACTGCATTCTTCATGGTTAGAAACATCTTTTATTTATTGTCTGGTTGAGTTACAACTTCTGCAACAGCGCAATGTCTTTTCACTAAAACCTTCTTTAAAACCTCCAATTGCATTTGCAGAAAGAGAGTCGCCTGAGAAGTATACTACTTCAACTGTAATTATTTTTGAAACACCCCTAACTTTAATTACATTTCCATTTTCCAGCTGGCTTATGGAGGAAATAAAATTGCTAAAAAGAATACTGTAAAAATATTTATCTTTTACCCATTTAGTATGAGTAAAAATTAACGGAAAGAGAGAAGACGTTCTACCACGATACAATGAAGGGATGTTTAAGATTTGAAAGTAAAATACAAACATTTTTTGCTTTTTACATGCCTTTCCTAAAGAATTTGTTACTCCAAAGTCATCACAATATATTCCAATTTTCACGTGGTTTGTGTCCCCATTCACAACTGCAAAGTCATTAATTTCCTTAGATTTTAATAGGAAAGACAATATTCCAGTGAAAGGAATTATACAACCTTGCTTATTCAGACCAGTCACTTTTGCAGTTGAAGTCTGTAAATTATTTTTGTAATACTTTTCCCGTAAATATTGTGTTGAGAGTTTATCACAAGTGGCCTTTAAAGCCTCAATGTCAAGATTTTATACAGAAAGCATCTCCTTTAAATTACTGAAAATTATGTTTAAAACATTTTGAGCACATCTGTGCTTTCCTTGTAAATGTAATGCCAAAGCTCCTAAATAATCTTCATTAATTTTTGTGTTACCAATTTGATTCGCAACATCATTTTTAACTTCATTTTCAATAGTACAGATATTGATCTGGTTAATGGAACATTTTTTGGAATGCTTCAGGAAACCTGAAAGACTTTTAAATTTGGACAAACAATTTTCACAAAAAACGACTGCTTGGTTGCCATGCAGTTTTAAGTGATGAAGCATAAAACAATAACAAACAGAACAGTTATAATTAATTACCTTTTGTGGTGTCTTGGGTGTGTTTGGAGATAAAGATGAAGAAGTTGATGAAGATATTTGTCTTACCGGAGGCTGAACACATTAACACGACATTCTTCAGCCATATATGGTGTATATAGTTGACTTACCGAAGGCTAAACAACATTTACAAGACATTCTTCAGCCATACATTGGTTTTCAAAGTTCCAATTAATTTTATTAGATGGTACTACAAAATCTACGTTATCATTAACAATAAATTAAAATTGGCATAACGGTGATGATTGAGAGTTGGAAATATCAACAAGTTGTGGAGCTTGAATAGTAAACTCTAAATTTTGTTCGTTGAGAAGAGCAGCAAAACTACTAGCATTTACTTTACAGCTATTCCACTTGACTTCTTCAATCAAGGGCAAATTGAAGGTTTCACGAACTAAAAAATAAAATAAAGTAAACATAGCTCAACATCATTGACAACTTTTTTTTTTTTTAGCATGATATTTGAATTATTGAAATGATATTTGAATTCAAATTATCATACTAAAAAAGAAATGATTAATTTTTTGGTGTTATAATTATATTTTAACAATTTTAAAAAAGTTACAATGTATTTTTAGATTTTAATTTGAAATGATACAACGACACTTAACTTTATAATAACATCTTAATATGTTATTATAAAAGCAAGTCAAGTGTGTTTGATAGTAGTAATATTATAGTACCATTTCGAATCTAAATTTTACATAACAAATAACATTAAATTAAAATGTTAGTTAGATATGATGCATGAGCATATTCTAAGGATAATTTTTAGTTTAAATTAAAAATCTTTAATGATACAATTAAATAAAATGATTAAATTTTAATAAATTTTCACAATATCTCATGAGATGACTATAGTGTTCAATACAATAAAACAAACCTACCAGCTACACAAAATTCCAAAAAATTACTGCTGCTGGCAATAACTATTTCAGCATTTTCTTTAAATATAACTTTAATTGCTTTCATTTTTTTTTTTACTTTTACCACCTTGTGTTACCGCTTTAGAAACTTTCTTAACTTCTTATTTAAATATGACAAAAGTAGCAGCACTCCATTGCGAGTTAGGCTATAAGACAGTCAATGTAGCAACGCTCCGCGCATGTTTTACAGTTAAAAAATAAAATTTTATTTTAAATAAAGCTTTAAAATAGATAATTAAGAATTAGAGAGTTTTTTTTTTATTATTTTTATCATAACAATAATGGTCTTTAATATATGTTTTGGTTCGCAAAAAAATTCGCATTTTACCGATTCGTAGTTTTCAGTTCGCATTTTACCGACAACCATTTCTAGAATTAATAAATGTGTTACTAGGTAGGGTTGTTAACCGGAGGATTTCGTGCAATTTCGGAAAAACAACATTCTTTCGTATGGAGATTGAGAACGAGGAATTACATTTTTTCGTATTACAAAACATTTAAAATCGTCGATGTCCTAGATTTTAAAATGAAAAGACATTCTAAAAACACAAATGGGAAACCAATAGGGTTTTATCGCCTTCCACGTATAGAAGCTATTCAGAACGAATACAAAAAACTTTTTAAAGCAGTTGGAATGGATTGAGATTATGATCACATTTGGTCACAATACAAATTTAAACTCAAGTCCCGATTTTTATTGAAAAAGATTTGAAATTTATATAAACAAAACTATCTATATACAAAAATAGACTTCACACGGTTTTGTTGTTATTTATAACGCTATCATTTTTATTTTTTTCCCTACAAACTGCGTTATATGAATTTGGCTAATATAAGCAGATTTTAAAGGTATTTACATCTACAATGTGGTATAGAAATAGCATATTTGGATTGTGGGAGATTCGATGTAAGTTTCCTAGAGACATGATATAAATTAAAAACTTACCAACGTTTTACTATTTGACTGAAAATCTATTTGTTTATAAATATCAACAATTTGTATATAAATTTAACAATCATTATTCAATCCCAGCGGATTTTAAAATGTGCTTTAAAGCAAATGCATAAAGTCATTTGTCATTATTATCGAAGAACACTTCAACAACTCATGGGAAGACTATTTATCTGTTCCCATTGAGAGTCCAACTTAACGAGATGTATGTATGTATGTAAGTATGTATGTATGTATGTATGTATGTATGTATGTATGTATGTATGTATGTATGTATGTATGTATGTATGTATGTATGTATTTATATATATATATATATATATATATATATATATATATATATATATATATATATATATATATATATATATATGTTAAATATATTTGTATAAACACTTGAAGAATCATTTAATAACATTTTTTTATAGTTTTATTATTTATTATTTAAATTGTTAGCAGTTAATATCTTAAATATATCGAAACATAAAATCTTTTGCGTCTTTTTCGTAACTGCACATTCCGGAATGCTCCTTCCGTTAGGAACTATTTCGTAAGTATTCTTACGAAATAATTTTTTCCGCAAGTTTTCTTTCACAATGCTTTATTACGGAATTTCTTTTATTTATATTTTCGTATAGTGCGTTACGGAATGTGCATTTTCGCATGTGCAACTTTTGCAAAAACAATTCTAATACGGTAGATAAAGATGCGAAATTTTCGCAAGTTTTGTTTTTCGGCGAACAACCCTAGTACTAGGTAAAATGCAAACTGCGAACCGCAAACTGCGAACCGCTAAAATGCGAACTTTTTTGCGAATCATCGTCCTATTGGTTGTTAATGATGTAATGTTTTATTTCCGTTAAATAGTTCATTTAACGGTATATTATAAGAACTTTTAAGCAAAAAATTAATTAAAAATAAATTAAAGGAAATTAAGTGAAACTAGACATAATCCAATATAATAAGTTTTTTTTTTTAATTATTTGATAGACTGCCTGCCCAAACCAAAGGTTGTCGGTAAAATGCGAACTGCGAATTCTTTTTATCATAAAGTAATAATCTTCTAGAAAACGAGTTCAGATTTTTGATCTAGACTCGTTTTCTAGAAGAAATTAACTATTTCATAAAATATCCTATTCTCTCCGAACTCAGGAAACACCATTTTAAAGTTAACGAGTGTAGCGTTAGGTAAGTTTATTGAAAAAGTAGCAGTGATAAAAAAGCTTGAAAAAATTATAAATTTATTTAATTAAATTTAAACATTAATAAAAACCTTTATAAGTGTTTTAGTAACTCTAGGTGATCATAAAACTATTTATTATTGCTCTTTCTTTTATTTTAGTCTGGCTCTCCAATGAACAATGAAAAGTTCATCATTAATGTGCTAGTCGAAAACTTAAGATAAAGTTATTAAAATTTAATAAATTTTGTCTTAATTTTTCAAAAAAAATTATAAATTTATTTAATTCTAGTTTTTTATATTTAAATTAATAAATTTGGCGATAAAATGAGTTAATAAGAAATTTTATTTTTTTGGTGTTCTGTATTTTATAGGGAAGATGGGGGCGTATAGATCGCTGTTGCAGCATTTTGAAAACTGCGAACAACCTGATCTAGATATAAAAACAACAACTAGATATATTTCAACATTACAACAACCCTTGCAAAAGATCAATGTACCCTCTCCGATATGGGGCGCTTTGATCTTATATGAGTAACATTATTTACATTTTTAATACTGCTATACCTAAGTGCTACAAATGCTATTAGTTGAATGACCACAATTAATTAGTTGAATGACCACAATTCTATCTATGAAAATAAGCCCTTTAAATAATATTTAACATATAAATGTGTTAAGTTTTACAAAACTTGAAGCTTATAAAGTCTATAAGAATACAGTATTTTAAGTTTACAAAAAAAAATATAAGATTCATACAAGACTTTTATCAGAACTAAAGTTTACAAGATTATTTTTTTATATTATCATCCTTTGTCAAAGTCAAGTCGTGATGCTGCTTTTACATTACATTGTTTTTTTTCCTAAGCAAGTAGTTTTTAACTTCTCCCCTTTTTTTATCGATGAGCATCTTTTGTTGGTTGATTTGTTTTAGGGTTTTCTTTTCTTCTGAAAAATAAATTTCATTTCTGATTGGAGTATCAGTCAAAATCCTTGTTTTTAATTGCCTACTTTTAACACCTTTTTTTCCTAGCAGATGCTTTCGGGTAAGGTTTCAAAACTCCAGGTGAGAGTAATGAGGCAATGCTTGGTAACACTTTGTTCGAAAAACTTGTTTCATGATGTACTACAGGCATTTCAGGCTCCATGCCATCAACATGTGCTACAGTCATTTCAGGTTCCACAAGAATTGTGTTTACTACATTTGGAGCAGCACGATCTGTAACTGATGATGGTAAATATTCATCATTTTTTAAAATTTCTGGATTAAATGGCTCAATGCCAGCTACTTGAAATCCTCTGAAGAATGCTTTTGTATATGGTTCGCGAACTATTGAAACAACATCATAAATGGTCATAAGTCTTGGATTTGTGACCATCCAATTATCACACGCAGCATTGTAAAACCTTTTCAATTGTCCAAAAACAGTTCTATCCAATGGTTGCTATTTATGGGTACAATGGGGAGGAAAACTTAGAATTGTAATTCCATGTTGAATTGCAAAATCCAAAGCTCTAACAGAAATATGACTTTTATGGCTGTCCAGAAGTAACAAAACTGGAGATTCATGAGAACAGTTTGAATACCTCACAAAATGTTTTATCCATTCTATAAAAATGTCTGAATTCAACCAATTCAATCCAGAAGGATTTGCAAATCCCATGCATCCAGGAGAACCTTCCTTTATCATGTAATCATGAAATTTGACCCTAGGAAAAACAAATAGTGGAGGAATAGAGTTTCCAATTGCTTTTGAAGTACAACATACTGTTACTAATGTTCCTCGTTCTGCAGATGTGATTCTTCCTACTTGTTTACTTCCTATACCTGCTAACACTTTTAATGGCTTTTGTACCGTTGTTAAACCAGTTTCATCAACATTATATATGCAATAAGGATCAAACTTATATCGATTTCTTACTGTTTTTAGATTTTGGAAAAATTCTCCTACAGTGTGTTGGTTAAAGGCAGTTGATCGAGCAAAGCTAGTTGCTTCAGGTGTTCGTAAAGATAACTCTGGTTGTCTTTTCATAAAACCTTGCAACCAATCAATCCCTACAATTTTATTCTTGATCCATGATGAAGGGCAGATCTTATTATTTTTTACAGCAAAATTGTGTGCCTATAATCGTGTCGACTTAGTTGAAAGTCCATAGTTCATTTTTGATGCAAATAGTAAATAACTTGATATAACTTCTATAAATACAGTAACTAACTCAAAAAAACAAATTTATTATAAACTTAACACATGAGTTTACAATAAACTGGTTGTAAAGTCATACGGAAATCTAATTAAAAATTTATTTGAATTTGTTTACAACTTTCAAAAATCACTTTTCATGATGAAAAACTGTCTTTTCAATTTTCTTAAAGCTGAAGTTGATCTTATCAAAAGTTATTACGAATAAGCAATCAAGGATAGTATAATGGTTAATTAAATTGCAATGATAACAGGAAAAAATTCCCCGGGAAAAAATCCCCCCAGAAAAAATCCCCCCGAGAAAAAATCCCCCCGGAAATATCCCCCTGAGAAAAATTTTTTTTTTTTTTTTTTAAATTATTAATAAAATTAGGGTTCATTATCGAAATTGCAATTTTCGAAAACTTTCAATTAAAACGTTATCGAAATACTTATTTTTTTTCGAAATCTAAAAATAACTCGCCAGGAAACTAATTTCAAAAGTAAAAAAAGAATTTCGAAATGTGAAATTAATTTCGAATAAAAAAAGTGTATTTCGAAAAGTGAAATTAATTTCGAAAGAAAAAAAAGAGTTTCGAAAAGTCAAATTAACTTCGAAAAAAAAAAGTGTATTTAGAAAAGTCAAATTAATTTTGAAAGAAAAAAAAGAATTTCGAAGTGTGCAATTAATTTCGAAAAAAACCAAAAGATATTTGATAAGCTAAATTAATTTCGAAAATGAAATTATCGAAAAGATTAATTTATTTCGGAAAAAATTTTTTTTTTTAGTTAAATTTATTCCAAAAAAAATTACGTCGAATTAATATATATTTTAAAATTTTAAAATATATATTAATTCGCTATAAATTTTAAAAGCATAACTTATAAATGCAATTTTAATACCTTAAATTTTATTTGCATAATAATACTAAATAACC